CTGGTGTTTAATTTATTGAACTTTTAAAATATTCTGAATATTAGTAGCCTATCAGATGTATACTTGGGGAAGACTGTCTCCCACTTTGTCAGCTGCTCTTTCACTCTGTCGATTATCCTCCTTGCTGTGAAGAACTTTCTAAATTTCATCCAATTCCATTAATCTGTTCTTACCATCATTTTCTTTGCCATTTGAATCTGTGAGCCCTCGCCTTTAACTGCTTATTGTAAAGGTTCCCTACAGTTTCTCTATGTAACAAGCATTAACTATCTTCTGGAGTGCTGGCTTAGTGGTCCCGAATTTAATTCGTACTGGTCTTCAGAAGTTTTGTTTTCTCTTGGTTTTTACTATTTACTTCCAAAGCTTGAAATAGCTCTCATGCTCTTATCGATTTCACAGTTTCTGCTCACAGGTCTCATGTTATTCTGATGGCTTTACCTATAAAAGTGAAGTAACAGCTTTCTCTTGGAGCTTTTACTTTTGTTGTCTTGGCATCTCAATTATAGTATGCCGTGGCAAGGTTCTTGTTAGGTAATGTCTACTTGAGGTTTTAAAGTCTCTTGTAGTAGAATGTTCTAGATTTGGATAATTTTCTTCTATAATTTTATTGAGTAGACTTTCTGTGCCTTTCGTGCTGGTCTCAGCTCCTTCTGTCTCATGGAGTCTCAGGCTTGGTCTCTTGATTTCCTGAATGTTATGGTCATTCTTGTTTGCCTGTCTTCATTTGCATCTGAATGTCGTATTTTCTCAACTTTGTCTTCTATGCCTGATATTCTATATTAAGCTTAATTTAGCCTGGTGTTGGGGATTTTGACTGTGTATTTTATTTGATTATTTGTTTTTATTTTCCAACATTTCAATTTGCTTTTTATTTTCAAAATTTGTTTACTCTCCAAATTTATCCATATTACTGACTTTTCTTCTATGTTGCTGATAGACCTTTTCTTAGTTCAGCATTTTAATCATTTTATCATTTTTTGTATTTATCAGTGGAGGTGCTATGACATCTTGGAGACATCATGTTGTCTTTTGAGTTTTTGTTCTTGTGTTTCTGTGTTCTGATATGTGTATTTGTCATTTTCTGTATTTTTTTTGTTTTATTAGGACATCTTTTTAGTGAGCAGTCTGCCTTGGCTCAATTCCTACTACCACCATGAGCATAAAAGTCAAGCCACTGTAACAGAATAACATTAATCAAATCAAGATAGAAACACTAAAAGCCAAGAAAAGACTATACCACTGAAGGCAATGGCCATGGAAAACAAAAATAGAAAAAATAAGGGATTAAAATTATTCAGGGTAAATATATATGTAGTAAAGAACAAAATAAGTGAAAAGGTAAAAAAAGGAGGAAGAGAAATGTCAGCTAATATTAAATAAAAGAGAAGAAATAAGATTATAGAAGAATGTCGTAGGAAGTTGACCAAAGAGTGAGAAATACATTTATATAATTGATCAACAAAAATGTGTAAGAAAAATTAATAAACTTAAGAAGGATAAAAATAAAACCATAAAAACATTTTTATAAATAAAATAAATTCAACTACTACTAAAACATAGTAAGGGGAGAAAGGTAGAAAGACAGGAGCAAAGAAAAGACAAAGCACTAGCGAGCTCCTTTCTGGGCCCTCTATAACTCTATTTGGCCAGGTGGAGGGGTGGGGTCACTTGAAGGTGGAGTCTCTTGCCTCTCCTACCAGTTAGACTTCTTGAAGTTCAACCAGTTAAGTGTGACATGCCCACCAAAGCGCTTCCACTTCTTTTCTGTGTGGTCCAGGAGGAGCCTCTGCTGGCAACACTTAACATTGCAACAGGGTGCCTGGCAGATTCTTTTACATTCTCAGGACTCCCTAGCTTGTACACTTCAGGAATGACTAATAATCTAGGTAGGAGCTTTCTCCCGTTTGCATTGGGGATGAGGGAAGCAAACCATGCACTGACATTTGCACAGACAGACCACTGTCTACTTTCAAAGCACACTCACCTGCAGACATGCTGCTGGAGGGATGAGGTGAAGAAGTCGACTACTTTGCTGGTGCTTCATCATTCTCATCCCCATTGACAGTGCTCCTCAACTGACACAGGTGGCTGCAGAGCCTGGCCACCTGAGGGTCTGAGGCTTGGATTCTAACATAGCTGGAAAAGGTGATGGGGTCAGCTTCTAGCTACTGAGGATGAGGCTGATTTCTAACCATGGCCTTCAGTGTCTGAACCAAAGCTTCCACTCGAATTTTTCAGTTGCTGACACCTGGTTTGCCTCCTCTTTGTGACTAACTCCTTTGCTTGTCTCACCCAGGCTCCAGGTTCCTTGACTTGAGATTGTTCACTGTTATTAGGTACCCAGGGTGGTTCAATATTAAACAACAGATTCACTATCATGATGGTGCCTAGCCCAAACCATCACATCAGAGAAGTCATGGTCTTACCACATTGTATAACTCGATTCAAGATTTTCAGGAGCTGTGGGCTTACCCCTCAGCAGGATTTTCAGTCCCTTTTCTCTGAAAATGAGGCTAAGCTAAAGCTTCGGCATCCTCTCTCCCACTAGGGATTTACCTGGTGGCATCTGCAGTGTGTACTTTACCCCTGGACTCCCTTTGGAATATCATATTTCAGTCTGCCCACGTTTCTTAGGTGTCCTGCCACCCTGTCCCCTGCTATGTGACATTCAGTGTTCTTCCATTCCTTCTCTCTTGGGAATGGAGTATATTCTTCATTGTCAAGCTCTTCTTATTTACCATGTCACACGTGGGTGACTTCTGATTTCCTGCTTTAGGCAGGGAGTCTCAGACTTAGACTTTCATATCCCAGATATGCTATCCTTCTTAAAGAACAGATGATACTGACATCTAAACATGGCATCTGTTGTTAGTCTGGCAAATAAATACGAGTCTATATAAATAAAAGTATCTAGAAAACTACCCAGAAGGCTACATTTCAATTGTAGACACAAATGGAAATCTAAAGAGTTTTAGGTATTATTTGCATCATGGTATCAGAATATTTTGACTTACAACATCAAATTGTGTTTGTTTTCAGTTATTTATCTTAAGTTAAAAATAAAAGAAGATAAATAAATGGATGGTTTAAAGAGGAATAATAGCATATATAATGGAGTCCAATCGATAAGAAAGAGGAGGGATTCTATAAGCAAGGACATTGAAATCACAATGGGAAAATGTACAGAGATGACCAGCCACAGTATTTGAAACCCATGAACTGTGGACCAATAGCTGTGGAGCCCCCTTAGGACTGGACTTGCCTCTGTATAGGCAAGACAGTTGTTTAACTTGAACTGTTTAGGTGCTCCCCAGGCAGGGTGATCAGGATCTGTCCCTGGTGCATGAGTGGGCTTTTTGGAGCCTAGTGCCTAAGTTGTGACATCTTGCACAGCCTTGGTGCAGGATGGAGGGTCTTGGATCTGCTTCAACTGAATGTAGCAGGCTCTGCTGACTCCCCATGGGAGACCTTGACTTGGAGGAGGTGAAAATGGGAGATGGAGGGTTGGGGGTCAGGGGGAGGGAGGGGGAATCTGTGGTTGGTATGTAAGATGAATAGAAAATTTCTTAATAATAATAATAATAATAAAGAAAAATAAAACTCAAGAATACAGAAATTTTACACAATTGAGCTACAGTAGGCTTGTAGAGAAGAAAGTACGTAGGAGTAAATTTATATGTGTTAGGTTGTTTATAATCAAAAGGTTATTTATATATTTTTCCCATTCTTTTTTCTTTTTTTGGATATTTGAGGCATGGTTTTCACTGTGTAGTTTTAGAGCCTGTCCTGGAACTCTATCTGTAAATCAGGCTGGCCTCGAACTCAGAGAGATCTGCCTGCCTCTGCCTCCCTAGTGCTGGTATTAAAGGTGTGTACCACCACCACCACCCAGTTATTTTTTCCTATTCTTTACATTCAAAGCAAAGTGACATTATTAGAAAATGATCTATTTATAGCAAAGTTTTCTAAACAAAACCCCAAATTTAAACTATTTATGTTCTATTGTTTAACTTTTTTTGTTATAATTTTCAGAAGTTTAATAGAGTTAAGGATCATTTAAATTTCTATTTGGGCTGAAATTGTTTTAATACCTATTCTTGCATAATTATGCTGCTAACTTTTACCAAATTCTATGTATATGTATTGTAGTCTATGATTCAAAGAATGCAAAACTTAAAATGCTCTGTGACCTGATATCATCCATGCTAAAATTGTTAATAATCACTTTCCAAGGAGTATATTATATTTTATCCACCTCCACTCTCTGCATATCCCAGTGGAGGGCCCTGAGTTGTCTCAGCTGAAATGACCACTATTATGGTGTGAGGTATGTATAACTATGTACTGTGGTCAAATTGTGGTCCCTTGTGGCTCCAATCCCTCCTGAAAGATGGTCTAATACATCATAAGTCTTTCTCCTGGGGACAATTTTGTCTTCTGGCTGCACCTGTAATTTCAGCCTTTCCTTCTCCAAGTGAAAGATTCCTGGGAGAATTCTAACTTCTTGGGGTCCATTGTTTGAATAGTCTGATAGCCCAGGAGAGACAAAAGCATCTCTGTAGAATTCCTAGGTCCTTTGGGGACTGTAATAATGACTAATTGTTTCTTGTGTTGTGTTATCAAGTAGACACTTCATCATAACAAAAAGCTTTGAATATTAAACACTCACAAACTTTAGGCAGGTTAGCTCTGGGAAGGACTGACTCATGCCTGCACCACAAATAGAACATAAATAACAGCAGGTGGTAGAAGCTGAGTCACCTTAAGCTGGTATGCTCAGGGGAGCATGCACAGTGAACTTTCTTATTTTATGGGTAATTAAAATCCTATACATATTTTGATCCTTCTGTATCTTAGATGGAAACCCAAGGAAAGGGGGCTCCTGAGGAAAGCAAGCCCCTTTCCTAGAAGTGCCTGCCCTGGAGGAGGGAGGGCAAGTGTTATGAAGGAAAGGAGAAATAGAAGTCCCTGGCTGCCAGGCCCCCAGTGCTGCTGCAGGGCTCAGCCTGCTCTTATTTTGAAGAGAATGCTTGCTTCCTTGTTCTCTAAAGTGAAACTCTTGGCTGCTCTCTGTGTGGTGCTTTCTTCACTCTGGAATGCAGAAGAAGCAAGACTGGAACTGGAGTTGAGAGCAGGGGAAGCTGGAGACCTCCTGCAGGACTTCTGGTGCTCAGTACAGGTCCACTTTCTTTAGCTAAAGGGCATGTGAGGCGTTCTCCTCCTCCCTAGTGTTGGTTATGCCAGGGTGCTGCCCCTTGTGGCTGGTGGCCACCCGCCGTGGCCATGCTGGCAGAGGAGCATGCTGATTAAAAGAATCCTAGCCATGGTTACCTTTTCAGAGCTTTATGGGGTGGGGGAGAGAGAGAGAGAGAGAGAGAGAGAGAGAGAGAGAGAGAGAGAGAGAGAGAGAGACAGAGAGACAGAGAGACAGAGACAGAGAGACAGGGGAGGAGGTGGGGGGGGAGGGGCCTATGGGGGACGGAGAGGGGACAGAGAGCCCACAGAGGGCTCACTGGCTTTTTAGGCTGGGATGCCTGCGAAGGCTGATGACATAATTAAAGATGTAAATCAGGACCATATCCTTACATCCCAGACTTTCCCTTATTATAAAAAAAAGCGGGTAGATGGAACTAGGGGCGTCGTTCCTCTCAAAAACTGCTTCCAGCTGACTTTAGGACATTGATTGGCTCTTGGGGGAATGGAGATGGGTGTCTTCCGAGGTAGACAGGCATTGTAGGATGCTGTCTGTCATCCATTTGCTCTGGAGACATGTATCCCTCTTGGCTGTGGCTGGGAACTTTTTGTTTGACAAGATGCTTTTAGCTGTTACAGTTTCTTATTTGATGATCTCTGGACTCCAGTTCTGTGGTGGTCCTGTACCATTAGTTAGAACAGGGAACTGGGAAGAGAAAAGCTTGTGGTACATGAGAAAAAAAAAATTTTTTTTGAATTAGGGACAAGGCAAAGATCAGGGCCCTGTCTGTATGCACGTGAGAAACACAGGCAGTGGATCTGGAGTGAAACAATGAGCTCTTATTTTAGGTGGAAATCTTTTTTCATTAAGTAACTCTGAAAAGCGCAATTAAATCAGGTGAGGTAGTAAGGCTGTCCTCTGTACCTGACAATAAAGGAGAGGTGGCATCCCAGAACTCCCAGGACTGAGTCAGTGGCTCTGGTGTCCAGAAGGAAAGAATCGATCGCTTCCCTGCTGCCTTCTGGGTTCCCTGCCATGTCTGTAGCCAAGCCTAGGTCTGCTGAAGGTCTTAGCTTGATGTACCCATGTATCTTGGTGCCTGGGGGCAGTCAGCTGACTCTTTGTCTTTCTAGGCGGCACCTTTAACAAGACTGTCTATGGCCTGGCAGGGCATTCACTAGCCCATGGCCTTTTCCTCACTTAAAACAGGGACCCAACAGCTTTTGGGAGTCAGCGAGTGCCAGCACTTGGCAATTTTGTTTTTGGACTTTTATCTTTTCCCTGGCATACCTTAAATGCCACAGACGACTCTTTTGCCTGTGGGGACAGGAGCCTTGCTCTCCAGATGCTTAAGTTTTAGTCGGGGAGGTCTGGGGAACAAGAGACGGATTTTGCTCGATGTCCTTAATTTTATTTTATTTTTTTCTGATGATTGGTGGCTTAAGGACAGCTTTTGGAAGATCTGTCAGTAGGCAGACTATAAACAGATCCTTTTTGAAGACTTGTCTGAGGCTATAAGCTGATTTTTTTTTGGCTTAAGAACCATCCTGACTACTGTAAACTTATTTGTATGGATCTTAGCCGCTTCCAGACCTGTCTGTGCTTCTCAAGGCAGTTTGAGAATGAGTGGGTGGAGTTAAGGTGAGTTAGGGCAAGTTGTAGAAGCTGCCCAAGCCTGCCCACTTGAGCCCATCCACTGGATCTCTGTGAGTTTGAGGCCAGCCTGGGCTACCAAGTGAGTCCCAGGAAAGGTGCAAAGCTAAACAGAGAAACCCTGTCTTGGAAAAAAAAGATATACAAACTAGATAACAAGAAGTCTGCCATATCCATAGTTTTAAAATAATATTACCTGTGTGTGTTTATTTGGGACTGAGTGGCTTCAGGACTGGCAGGTGAGAGAGATTAGTCCTGACTGCGGACCAGGCGGAACACAGGAAAACTTTCAGCTACATAGTAATGCTATCTGCTCCAACTAAGATTCTGATTCTGACATAGTGTAGCCAGGGAACCCCTGTGTCCTGAAACGCATACAAACACAGTCATTCAGATAACTGGTTTCAGCCAATATAAAAGGGACAATATTCAAAAGGCTGTCAAACTCCAAGGAATTAATAGCTGGATCCACAGTCAAGGATAAAATCTTGTTTTCCAGAAAGACTCAGAATGTGAAGCAAGATAAGCGCACTGGAGCAATGAACCAATTAACCATTTGTGATTTCTCTTCAAAGGGGCACCAAGGTTCAGATAAGCAGATCTATGGACCATGCACCATAGCTCCTGCTATTGAAATTATTCTTATGGGAGGTGTCTTAATGACATATTCACTCTTATCTCTGACCTCTGATTAAATCCTTCCTTGACTCCCATAAAAATATTTCCAAATGTTTTTCTAACATTGTTCAAGCAAGTGTGGCTCTGATGAGCCTCTCATTCCTTATGATGTTGAACATTTTCAGTTCCTGCTACTCCTTTAATGGATAATCAAATTTGTTGGTTGCAGAACTTAACAGATATCTTTTCAAATAGTTATGAGAAAACATTGCTCCACCTTTCCTTGACCAGATCCAGATACATCATAGCTTACATTGGGCCAAATGAGACAAGTCTTCCTTAGGATTTTCAAGTAAAAAAAAAATACATGTTTCTTATACCAACAGTCTCCTACAACCTTTTTCTCATGGTTTGATTTTCGTCTTGTGTCTTTGATTCTTGTTCACTTAGCAACCTGGTACAACTGTTATCTTCAAGACTCCACACCCCAATTCTTCAACTGATGGTGACCAAGTGATGCTAACCTTTGACCACTATGATCGCTTTCTTCTTTTAGAGTCCCTGAACTTTTTTCCTTGGAGGAATCTGTGACCCTTCATCTAGATGTTCCTTATGACAATGCCCTCACCCAGCAAGAAATAGCCAGATGAGCCACTTCCCCTGTTCCCTGGAAGATTTCAAGAGGCCAATGTTGAGCAGGAGGTTAGCTGACCAATGGTCTCTCAAAATCAGGATATAGAGAGCAATAGTTGATCCCTGAGCCTTAGGTACAGGAGCTGTGTTCTAGATGTATCAGTTGGGACTGGGCTTCTCAAACGTACATTTTGATTAGTTGTGAGTTTTCTTTAATGGTCTGTGTCTGTCTCAAAGAGGAGTTTCTTGATGAGGAATGAAGATTACACTTATCTTTGAGTATAAGAACAAATATTTAGAATGTAGTTTAGGATTATAATGGTTTAATAAAGGGGTGGTTATAGGTTCTCCTCCAAAACCCATGACTTCACTAGTCCTGGGTAGTTGGCTAGGTTTCCAATACCAGGACTGATTTCCCCACTGTTGAGTGGGTCTTAAGTCCAGTTAGTCAATTGTTTGTTACCACTGAAGTATACATGCCACTACTGCACACTTACAATGGTTAATTGGGACAATTTGGGGCTCTTGGTAGGTTTCATAGATGGTGTAGGTGGATAGGATGTAACAATATTTGCTAGTGTTCATTCTCACGGGGCCAGTGCAAGAATTCCCTCTAAATAGGACCAAAGGAGCAACAAGTGGGAGTGGTTGATTCTACCTGAATAAGCCCAAACTGGCCTCAGGAATTTTTTCACATGGGAATGTGTACCTGGTGCTGTTACCCTCTTTCTTAGTGAGCTTTTCAACTTTGAGGTTATTTAAACTCTATTCCTCACTTCTTAGACTGCACTTTGGGTAAAATCTAAGAGACGCTGGCTCTTTCCCTAAAAGTGCCCACCCTAAGGCAAATATAGGTGAAGAGGTAACAGAGAAGAGATTGTGCCTATCAGAATCAAAGCCACTGTTGCCCAGCTTGGTCTGCTCTGATTTTGAAGTCTGTTCTTGTTTCCTTGTTTGCTAAAACCCAGTGCTAACCTGCTTGCTCAATGTGCTGTGTTGTATTTGATGTTTTCTCTTCTAGGAGCAAAGAACTAAGAGTGTTACTGAGCTTGAGACTAGGGGATTCTTGAGGCATGCCATAACCACAAGGGAATAGATTTCTATGTAGCAAACAATAAGGAATTGTTCTTTTACCCTCTTGCAATAGCTTGCAGTAATTTATACAGTATAAAGAGGAATTTTAGTAAAACAAATTATGATTATATAATGATTCACTACAGAATTATCTTTTATATATCTGTATGGTACCAAATGGCATGTGAAGCAATGCTTTAAATTTCCTACCTCCCCTTTTCTATTGGTTAATTGTTAAACAGGTAATGTCACTGGTTAACCATTAGACAGGAAGAAGTACTGTTTAATCATTAATCAGAGAGTAATGCTGGTTAGCCATTGCGTGGGGATGGAGTGGGGTGGCAGGGGTTGGTTACCCATTAGCCGGGAAGTTGATGTATGGCCTCTATATATTCATGGTTCCACAAAGGCTGCAGGAGAATCAGAACCTTAGTCAGAAGAGCGGTAAACAATGAGTTCCAAGCAGCAACGCGTGAAACTAAATGATGGCCACTTCATTCCAGCACTGGGCTTTGGCACATATAAACCCGAAGAGGTAAGAACAGTGATGCTGTGGTGGAGGGCTCAAGAGAAAATAGGCTAAGGGACAGTGGAGGAGATAAAGCTCTCAAGTCATCCATTTCCCATGTGACTCTGGGAGACTCACCTGGTTCTGTTTGTCTAGACTAGCTCTATTCTATGTACAAGAAAGAAGATGGTTTGACTTTGCTCTGCATCAAGGTCTGATTATATAATCGTATGTCAATTGCTTCAGTGTTTCTTGGCTTGGCAGAAGAGATCAAAGTCACCAGTCCGGAACACTGTCAGCTCCTTGATTTGATGCCAAAAGGAGGGAGGGAGGGTTCCTCTTTTTAGCTCTGTATTCCAAGTCTTTCCCTCGTACTAAAAAAAAAAAAATCAAGACTAAAGGAAATCAGCATACTGAATGTTTGCGTAGCTGAGAAACATAACAAATGTCCAAGGACTACTGCAGTTCTGTTTTGGGGGAGTGGTCAGTATTTTACAGTAAATGCTGCACGTGAGTTAATTAAAACATCCAATATGCCACTCTCAACTGCTCTCAACTGTGGGGAGCGAGTGGACACTGCAAAAGTATGATGGTGAAATGGTGTGGAATGCTGATCTTTGTTAATGGACATTAGGTTTATAGCATAGTGATCCAGAAGGTTCTCTGAAATGAAGTGACCAAAGAGGGGAGTTTACAAACCTGGAAGGAATTTTATATTTTAAAATCTTCTTTAGATCATGCGATTTTAAGATAAGTGAACTATTTTTTAAACTTCAAATGCAAATATTTCTCATCTGTAAGATTTACAAAGATATTTATGAAGTGCCAATGGCCATACTGCTTGGGATACAATTTATCTTCTTGGAAATATCCAAGGAGCAAGAGTGAAGAAACATGATGGGACTTAATTACTTTTAGGATAAAGTGGCAAAAAGAAAGGGAAGGCAATGGGTCTGGAGAGATGGCTCAGCGGTTTAAGAGCATTTGCTGCTCTTACAGGGACCAGGATTTTGTTCCCAGCAGCCATGTGACACTTCACAACCATCAGTGACTCCAGTGCTAGTGATCTGACCCCCTCTTCTGTCCTCCACAGGCACTGCACGCATGTGCTGCACAGACATACATGCAGGCAAATCATTCTCACATAAAATTAATCTAAAAAACAGTTAAGAAAAACAAAGAGACGACAAGTGCCAAGATCACTACAGAAGCCTCAGCCTGAACAGCCCTGCAGCTAGAAAACCTGGGCAGGCCTCAGGGCTCATTGCTAAGAGCCACCATTTCACTTCATTGTGGAAAGAATTTCTTTTTTTTCTTTTCTTTTTCTTTTTTTTAAATTGTTCTGATATAGAGTCTTATTGTGTAGCCCTGAGCCTGGAATTTGCTATGTAGACAAGGCAGACCTTCAACTCAGAGATCCTCCTGCCTTTGCTTCAGGAGTGCTGGGATTAAAAGAGTGTGCACCATGTCTGGCTCTGATGTTTTTAAAATATATGCAAAAGGAATTTGATGTGATCCTCTACCCTTTAACATAGGACTCTCCACAGAATTATCCAAGTCTGGCAGAGTAGGCAATAATCTTAAATTTAAGTCTGGTTATATTTTCACTAAACAAAGTACCTTTTGTTGTTACGGACTGATAACCTGCTGGGCGGTGGTGGTGTATGCTTTTAATCCCAGCATTCGGGAGGCAGAGCCAAGGAGATCTCCGTGAGTTCGAGGACAGCCTAGTCTATAGAGCGAGATCCAGGCACCAAAACTACACAGAGAAACCTTGTTTCAAAAAACAAAACAAAAAAAGGACTGATAACCTAACATGAATAATTCCTTACAAAATGAGAAATAAGTAACTTTTTTTTTATTCTTCCCCAAGTAACTTTTTATACAGATGAGATTTCCCATATATAGTCACAATTTGATGCAGAAAAGAACACAGGATTTCTTAGGAGTCTTCATTGGGAGAAGACTCATAGCATTGCACTGAATTTGTACCAAGCACCTTTCTTGTGTGACCCCACTATATAAATTATAACAGGACTATTCCTATATGCTCAGTTCTGTAAGCCCTTTTAGGATCATTACTGAATTTGAGGTCTGTTTGAGGTTCTCTGATGCAAATGATTGACCATTACTGCATAGGTGTGAAGAAGTTATGGGATGTGAAATTCTCATTATTATCCTGGAAGGGCTCAGTGAAAGTAAGGTGAGACCTATTACCTCAAATGCTCAAAATAACCTAAGATATGGGGAAAAGGCGATTCTCTTGAAATCACCTTCGTGTCTGTGATCTCCACAGTTACTATTAGTGGATACTGTAAAGTTTTACAGGAGGTGAAATTTCAGTGGCCAGGAAACCAGTCTCTTGTGATGTAGTAAAGTGGTGTGCAAATGACATAAGAATATAAGATTCCTCCTTTTCTAGAGAACTGTCCATTAGATCCACTTGAATAACCTCTCTTAAGTGTCTTTAAATATTGCTTTTGGTTCCTCTTTAGGTTCCTGAAAATAAGCCCCTGGAGGCTATAAATTTAGCTATAGAGGCTGGGTTCCGCCATATCGATACTGCTTATGTGTATCAAACAGAAAAGGATGTAGGACAGGCTATTCGAAGCAAGATTGCAGCTGGCATTGTAAAGAGAGAAGACATATTCGTTGTTACAAAGGTATTGTGTGCCTAATGTTCAGGTGAACATATTAATTGAAATGTGATATAAGCAGGTAAAGACTTATTTGATTGGATAGTTCATTAATTGATAAAATATACATACTGGTACAACTTTTATTTACATATAATTCATAGATGAGTTCCATCATGAAATGCAGAAAAAAGATTATGACCTCTACCAATGTATCATTCTAAAGTCCTTTGCTTTTATGAGCTTCAATTCAAAGCAGTATATTTTTTTTCACATGGGCTGTAAATTCAAGTAAAACTATGAAATTGTGGCTTTCTGAATCTCTTTGATAGCTTTGTAAAATCTGTTATATTCCAAATACTAATTTCTACCTTTAAATATTGAAGAGCAGTAAAAGAGAACTTTCATCTGAAAGGTTAGTTAAAGTACATTTATTACTGTCCATCACACATTAAAATGTCATCTGTTGCTTCTGTTCAATGATGTAGACAAAGGGATGCTAATTCTTCTCTAATACTAAGAATGGATCAAATAATTTGATTAATAACTGCTTTTGATCTCTGTGAGATATAATTCAGAGACTAAATATTATTAGTTGTAGATAGAAGTTTTATCTATTGAGAAATTTTCTTTTCTTTTTGAAGGATTAAAAACAAACATGTAATCATGTTCATATGTGTAAGTCAGATTAGTGGAAGCCACAGAACAAAGGGAATTTTATGTCGTATGATTGTAAGTTTCTATGTAGTAAAAATGTATCAGTATTAGATAAAATAAAACCTCCATATTTGGATAATTTACTAATCCAGGATTACTTCATTTCTTTCATGTAAATAGCTTTGGTGCACTTTCCTTAGACCAGAGCTGGTTCGGTCTAACTTGGAAAAATCATTGAAAAACCTTCAACTGGATTATGTTGACCTCTATATCATTCATTACCCAGTGCCAATGAAGGTAAGCAATTTGAATGATCAGACTTAATCAACTTTAACAAGGATGTGGTTATTATTTTTCTGGATGGTCAAGATAAAATTCTGTTATATTTTTCTTTTTTTTTTTTTTTTTTTTTTTTTTTTTTTTTTTTTTTTTTTTTTTTTAAAGATTTATTTATTTATTATGCATACAATGTTCTGCCTGCATGTATGTCTGCAGGCCAGAAGAGGGTGCCAGATCTCATTACAGATGGTTGTGAGCCACCATGTGGTTGCTGGGAATTGAACTCAGGACCTCTGGAAGAGCAGTCAGTGTTCTTAACCTCTGAGCCATCTCTCCAGCCCCTGTTATATTTTTCTATAAACTCAATTTCTGTATTTTGTAGTCTACTCAAAGTAGATTACACAAATGGCCATAAAATAGGAAGCCAAAGCAATTTTTAGAATTATGGATTCAAAAAATAATCTTCAAAAATGTCCCTATTTATGCATTCCTTATATTACATCAGTAGGTATTTGAGTTTTATTCCAGCATTTTGTTTTCTTGTGGCATTGAGACAGTTCAAGCTTCCTGGTTATTACCTCCTTATAGCATCGTTGAGTTTTCCACCATCAAAATTAGCTTTGCATATAACCTTGAATGGCCATCTTTAGTGGACATAGTTTCCTTTTGACCAAATATATTCAGGTAAAGAAAGAATCATTGATTGTTTGGCCTGGGTCAGGAGTGAAATCCATTACTACTGAAGGTCAAAGTTGTATGTCTACTGAATTTCTCAGTGAGAGAAATATCTTACCAGAACTATGAATAAGAAGTGACAAAATAAAGGTCATCAGCTAAGAGACTACATGTAGATACATGAGAATACCATTTAATAATAATAATAATAATAATAATAATAATAATAATAATAAATATATGTAAAACTACATTTATGAATTTTATATGAGACTAGTTCAAGCATCTAAGAATACTCCTTATAATTCAGCGTACAAATCCCCTTGTAAATGTAAGTACATAGAATGATGCTCCAATTAAAACACATTTAGTGTCCCATTTCTAGCTGTTCCTATGAGATACTTATGTTTAGTCAGATCATTGTGAAGACTGTTTCTATTCCAGCCAGGGGAGGATCTGTTTCCAGAAGATGAACGTGGGAAAACATTATTGGACACTGTGGATATCTGTGCCACATGGGAGGTGAGAAGTTGAAAGAGGAACAACAGAGGAGCTGAGAGAGGGAAATCAGGTCATGCTTGAGAAAATGGGGTATATGCCTGTGTGTGTAGAAATTCATTATGTTTATATAGTGTGTTACTGGAGTGAAGGGGAGCCATGCATTACTACAGTGTAATAAAGGGGAATGAAGGGGTACTCAGGACGACAGAAATGACTGCATTTTGCCAGCATATGTAGTGTGAAAATCTCTGCTTCTTAGTGAGGACACACTAAGTGAATTCCTTTATGGCTGTCACTTTCTTCCTCTGTCGTCTTCACTCTTTTGGTTTCTTCATATTCAGTTTCAGTGATCATCTGGGCAGTGTCTCCCTAGAGCCTCCTCTTCAGTGTTAGTGTGATAGCGGTCAAACTCAGGGTCTTTCACACACTGGCAAGTGCTCTGCCATTGAGCTGTATGTCCAGAGCTAGATGGTGTACTCTTAACTGTTCCATCCTGCATTTGTTTCAACGTAAATATGACTCTTTATAACTCTTTCATTTCTAGGCCATGGAGAAGTGTAAGGATGCAGGACTGGTCAAGTCCATTGGGGTGTCCAACTTTAATAGCAGGCAGCTGGAGAAAATCCTGAATAAGCCTGGGCTTAAGTACAAGCCTGTCTGTAACCAGGTGAGAAACTTCACACTCCTCTTCATCTCGCACACATTTCCTTATTTCTGTTGTGATGCCTCCAGTCCATTTGCTCCTTCCTCAATTCATCTTATTTTCATGGAAAAGAAGATTCGAAGAGCAGTGTCACTGTAGCAAAGGATACTTTAAGATTCTACAATTCAATTTTGGACTATTAAATTTTGGGAAAATGAGGCCGTACCATAGTGTCCAACTGGTACAGACTGTGGAGCTTTAAAGTGGTCCAGGAAGCAGATGCCATTAGTAGTATTTTAGGATCAAAGTAGACTTATCCATGAGCTGGGAAAAATGTAATGTATCGGACAAATGAAGGTGCTGGCAAATGGACTGATTTATAATGAGAAGTCCAGAAAAACATGAAATGAGCAGGAAAAGGAAAGACTGAAGATGAGAGAGATGAGTGGGCATGGCAGTTTTGGAGATAAAGGAATTATTCCTTCCTTTTAGTATATCTGGTCTTAGGATTTTGAAACAGAGACATAGCTGAAATTTCTAACTTGAAATTTTAGACTCGAATTCTAAAAACCGTGTATATTTGACTGATTGCCTGTTTATGGTGATATTAGTGTTGGATAAAATCCACACTCAGGGACCATATGCAGAACATACAGTTGATTCTGTGTCAAAAACCTCCTGGTGAGCTTTTCTTTTCTTCCTCCTCTCCTAAAAGTAACTTAAATGCATATATTCTGTGAGTGGTTCTTTGTTCTTTATTATAATTTAACACATTCTCATCATGTAGCAAATATTGTTGTCTGGAAACAGTGGTGAACCGGCTACTATGATAGCAAAGAAGAAGAGACTGGCAGCCAGTTAAAGTATTTCACTAGAGACCAGAATAAGGAAAGCATCTTATTGGGTGCACAAGAATAGGGCAGTGTGCTGGACATAACAGAAGCATTGCCTGGCACAGGCCCCACCACCATTCCACTGCACTCTCTGTTGGAAGGCCTTGCTACTGGTCAGAGGTTGCAGTCTATCATGGCCTGGCAGCTTTTTCCAAAAGCTTGGCACATAGAGACCCTCTCCCTCCCCAGTGAAACTTTCTACCTGCCCTTATCTGGATAATGTCTCTGGGTCCAGAGTGTTGACCCTATCTAAAAGCTGTCTCTAAGCCAGATGCCTGATTTTTCCTTAGCTTGACCCTTGGCACAGATTCCTGCTAGAAGACTTGTGCTAGAAGCTCTGCTATAGGACCCTACTGCCACATATGAAGCCTTGAGATAGGAGTGTGCCATTTAATGCAAATTAGGGTTTGTCTCCAAACTTCCCAATCCTATATATTCCTTATAGTCTGGGATAAAGTTGAGCTGATTTACTGAAGTCTGTCTCCCAAGGGGCTGTCTCCTTCATACCCACAGTCGACCTAACCCTGTTCCCGACTTCTACTCCCTCCATCCTCATGAACCAATGCAGCCAACGATCTGGAAGAAGAAGCAGAACTGCACCTCTCTAACCCTTCCTCTTTCTTCTTTGTTGTCCAAGAAGTTTGTCTCTACTTTGAAGTCATCTGTACATGTAGGATTTCATGTATCCACAAGGTCTAGGACTCACAAATGAGAGAAAAAGTGAGGTGCTTGTCTTTCAGCAACTAACTTAATTTACTTATTGTGATTATCTCCAATGCATTAATTCCTCTGCAAACAGCTTAACTTTATACATTTTTATAGCTAAAAACTTCCATTGTGCTTAGAAATCACATTGCTCCATCCTTTCCTCTGTTGTTGGTTGCTGTGTTGGTTCCCTAACTTAGCTATCATGAACTGGTCTGCTGTTAGCAGCCTTCTCCCCACAGAAATACAATTTTGGGTCATTAAGTCTTTACATAATAACACAAAATTGTGACTTTCCAGTATAAATATTCAATATTTATGTAGACTTGGTATTAATTTTCTCACAATTTTCATCAAACATCTTGAATAATTGATAGGCTGATGCAGACTATTTCTGCTTCTTACCTAACCTATATCTCAAAACAGTGAGGTTGTCACCTGGACAAATATACCCATATAGGGTATATCTCCACATATATGTAATATTTTCTTTAATTTTCAAAGTTACATTCGTGTGTGTGAATGAATGTATGCTTCTCTCTCTCTCTCTTTCTCTCTGTGTGTGTGTGTGTGTGTGTGTGTGTTATGATGCATATGTGGAGGAGGACAGGAGATTACTTGTGAGTTTCATGGAACAAACTCAGGTGTGGCTGGGCAATAAGTATCTTAACTCACGGAGCCTCCTCACTGACCCTATTTCTGCAACATTCTTATAAAGTTGCTCAAAGTAGTTTCTTTGAGTGTTCACCTTCAGAGAGTTCAGAAAATATGTCCCAATAATGATGTTATCAGACATTGTCAGACTTATATTTAGAGAAATTAACAACAATTCTCTTACTGAATCTGAACCTGTCTATATTTAAATTCCCCAATGATTTCCGGAAACATCTTCAAGCCAACACTATGTTTTTTCTTTGTAATGCAAAATGGAATTTAAACTTCAAGATCTGGTTCATAGAATTAGTTTATCACCAGAAAATTATTTTTTGTGTATCATATTAGTAATATAGATGTGAAATTAAGTTTTAAAGACACAGATTATATTGATAGTCTAAGTATGTTACATTTTCTTTTTTTTAATTCTTTTTTTTTTTTTTTTTTGGTTTTTTGAGACAGGGTTTTTCTGTGTAGTTTTGGTGCCTGTCCTGGATCTCGATCTGTAGACCAGGCTGGCCTCAGACTCACAGAGATCCACCTGGCTCTTCCTCCCAAGTACTGGGATTAAAGGTGTGGGCCACCACCGCCCGGCTTCTTACATTTTCTTATTGAGGTACTTACCTTTAGTGATCCTCTTTTACATGAACATTAACATCTCACATAATCAGATATCATCTTTCTGTCTGTCCATCTATAGGTGGAATGCCATCTTTACCTGAACCAGAGCAAGCTGTTGAACTACTGCAAGCCAAAGGACATTGTTCTAGTTGCCTACTGTGCTCTTGGATCTCAGCGTCCTAAACGATGGTAAGGACAGTAGGGAGTTTACTTCAAACACCAGTATTGGTGAAATCTTTTCAATACTATAAACTTACTTATCAGAAACTCCTTTTGAACTTGCTCAGGGATAGAGGAGAATTTGCATGTTTGACATCTTGGTGATGGAAATGTTGCTGGTCCAAGGACTCTTTTGAAGACCCCTGGTTTTGAAGCCTCTGAACAATTCTCAGCTTTTGAAGCTAAAAATATTTGCCTTTTTTTCCAGGGTGGACCCAAACTCCCCAGTTCTCTTGAATGATCCAGTTCTTTGTGACATGGCAAAAAAACACAAGCGAAGTCCGGCCCAGATTGCTCTTCGTTACCATCTTCAACGTGGAATTGTGGTCCTTGCCCAGAGTTACAAAGAGAATGAGATAAAAGAGAACTTACAGGTGACCAGGGAGGCTGTGGGCATCAGGACTCTTACACATCATCTCTCTTCTATTTTCTTCTTTGAAATCTCTCAGGGAATTTTTTGGATAAGTCAATCTCCCTATCATTTCCTACTCATGTGAGATTTTAGTTGCTTTCAGAAATGTTTTGTTCTACTCTACAATACAATCGACAACTTAGCTTGATAAAATTAGATTTAGTGAGAGCACAGAAACTTAGAATTGAGAATTAAGTCAGCCAGGCACTTTGACCATCTTTGCAATGGATCTTTTCATTGTCAGATGACATGAGAGTTTAAGTTTGGGCAGATATTTTCATATGATAAATTTTTGTGGCTTTATTTTGCGTTTGACTTGCATATTCACATATTTTATTTTATTTTTGTTTATTAATTTTTGTTTATGTGTAGAAATGTTTTGGCTGCATACATGTCTGTGCACCATGTCCATGCCTAGTACCTGCACAGGCCAGAAAAGGGTATCACATGCCCTAGAACTGGATTTGTGGATGATTGTGAGCTGCCCTGTGGGTCCTGGGATTCTAATCTGCTCTGGAAGAGCAGCTAGTGTCTGAACCACTGAGCCATGGCCAGCATCATGCTCACATATTTTAATATGGATGTATTTATTTCTTTTGAGTTGCTTTACAGGCTAAATGTGTATTCTTTTCTTGAGACTTACCTATGTTGATGATCTTCTCTTTTCAACTACAAGAACTTTGTTATACCATTACCTACAAGAGTTGAAAAATGAACCAGCCACAACCTAGTGCTTTAATATAAAGATTATTTGTTTAGTTCATTATTCTATGATTTTACAACTTTCTAGAGCCCTCCCAGAACACTGAGGCATCTGTCTACCTTGAGTTTACTCAAGTATGTCCACAGAACTGTTGTGTGTGTATTTGCAAGTGATGAGGTCCATCTGCCTCAGGATATAGTTGTCTCTTGCCTGATGTTCTTTTTTTTTTTTTTTTTTTTTTTTTTTTTTTTTTTTTTTTTGGTTTTTCGAGACAGAGTTTCTCTGTGTAGCTTTGCGCCTCTCCTGGAACTCACTTGGTAGCCCAGGCTGGCCTCGAACTCACAGAGATCCGCCGGCCTCTACCTCCCGAGTGCTGGGATTAAAGACGTGCGCCACCACCACCCGGCCTTGCCTGATGTTCTTTAGCTTCAGATAGTTTTCATTCACTAGCCAATTGGCATAGGCTTAGTTCCTCACATATTCTTCTTTCAATTCATTGAGTAGGCATTTGCAAAGACTTTAAACCTAGGCAAACGATTATCTGTCATTTATTCTGCTAAATTAAGAACTGGGAGATGGCTCAGTGGTTAAAGCTCTTGCCAAGCAAACACGGATCTGCAGAACTCATATAATTCCATGTGGAAGTGGTGCCCCCTCTAATTCCAACTTTTCAGACAGAGATAAAGGATCCCCATAGTAAGCTGACTAGTGAAAATAGCCATATTGGTGAGTTCTGGGTCTAATGGACAGATCCTGCCTCAATGAATAAGGTACAAGAGCTATGAGGATGAAGCCTGGTATCAACCTCAGGCTTTCACATGCCATTCACACACATGTGAGCACCTACAAGAAAAACACACATGCATGCCATATATACAGACATGAAAATAGCAAAAAGATAGAAGCAGCTAAAATTAAAGGAGTGAGAATATGGACCTGCCTGTTGGTAGAAGTAGGTGCATATTTGCATGGAGTGTGGAGACTGGAAAGTATGAGTTGTAATTAATTTCCTGCATTTATATCTTCTCCATATAAATTACCTTGCAAATTCAGATACATTTACTCTATCCTAAATTCTGCTGTTTTCATTCTCCCTCCCTCCCTCCCTCCCTCCCTCCCTCTCTCTCTCTTCCTTTGTTTATTTTCATGAGCAGAAATTTCTCTTTATTGTGTTTCTTCATTCCTTTACTTTGTGGTTAAATGTCGTGTCCTTTTCCTCATTCGAAATAGAACATCAAAAATGTTACATTATTTCTTCCCAAACTCTAATTGAAGTACAGTTTCTGAAATAATGTAAAATAAAAATTGAAATAACACTTAATAATGTTCTAAGTGGCTATGTGGTATTGCCAGCATGAATAATCATATTCATGGATTCTCTTTGTCTTATTTATACTCACCCCTTTTCAAAATATGACAAATTACCTTGCCTTAAATGGCTAATTAAACAAGACCTGGATAAAGACAATGCCAGTAGACACTCCTACTTGTAAGGCAGAAATCTCATAGGGGATCATAATTAGATAAAGAACTACAAACGATTAAAGAATTCTAAGAGCCTAAGATCTGAAGAATTGGTCTCCCTTAGGATGGGCTCCTTGTTTATCCAATACCAACTGGCTGGTCATGAAATCATAAACATACAAGCAACACTAAACAGATTCATTAGGCTGAATTTATGTGTGTGTGTGTGTGTGTGTGTGTGTGTGTGTGTGTGTGTGTGTGTATACGTGTGTGTGTGTGTGTGTGTGTGTGTGTGTGTGTGTGTAGAATAACTTAACAAAAGAGACCACGAATTTGGGAGAGAGTAACAAGGAGACATGTGAAAGTTTGAGAGAGGAAAGCAAAGGGTGGGAGGCTGATATAATTATATTTTAATACAAAATAAAAATATGATTTTCTGGACAGATAATACTTATATATGTAAGAATTTCATCATTTATTATTGCTTACTTTGATTACATCTTTCAGTGCTTAAATATCTAAACATTAAACTTGTCCATAAATTGAGAAAGAACTGAAGTTTTGAAATATTAAGAATTTTAATATGTCCCTATAATGGGAATTTATAATTTTAAGTGGACTTTTAATATATTAATAACTTTCTTAGTTTTTTCTATTAATGTATTTGTATATATTATTAGGTTTATTGCTAGAGAAGTGGTGCTACTTATCATCTTTTGATAATATAGTCTTTGCTTTTTTGTTAGTTTTTAAATATAAAGGTGTGCTCAGCGCTTTTTACTAGAGGGATCAGTTGCTAGATTTTGACACTTTAAGCTTTTTCTCCTCCCTCCCTGCCTCCCTCCCTCTCTGCTTCCCTCCCTCCTTCCCTTACTCCTTCCCTCCCTCTCATCCTCTCTCCTTCTCTCCCTCCTTCCCTACCTCCTTTCCTTTCTTCTATTTATTTATCACCGTTTTTGGAGAAATAACACAGGATTTGATGATCTATTTGTGTCACTATTTTAGAAATTAGTAAAAATTGTTTTTATGTAAAATAACCCAGTGCCAGCCGTTGAAATCTTCTTCAAGTCAAATTTTTTCTTTATTGGAAATGATGAAATTAACACTTGAATAATTCTTGACTTAAATTGTGTTGCAAAGAATTGTTCCTATTCATGTAAATATTAAAGTTAAATGGTTCAGAAATTTACTCTAGATTGTTTGGAAACTATCACTTTGGTCTTTGAATAACATCAGGTTTATATCTGCTGCAGGTCCTTTGGATATATTATACTGCTTCAACATATCTCAAAAGTGATTTCCTTTAACTTTTATCTGACACCCATTGACCATTTGAGTATCTTGCTTGATGTCTAATAACTTTCAGAAGTTTTTTTGGTATATGAAAAAGTTGCCTTTAAAGAATAAAATGGGATTCACTTGGGTTTTAAAAATTTGCAAATTGGTAGTGTCCTAAAATGTTTCTAATTGTTCAATAGGTACTTGAATTTGAGCTGCCATCGGAGGATATGAAAATCCTAGATAGCTTGAACAGAAATTTAAGATATGCACCTGCTCCATTGTAAGTCACTCTTATAAATGTGCCACAATTTATTTTAGCTTCTCTCTTTTCCTTTTCAGTGAATGTTTGTTCAGAAACCAATCACTTCATTAGTTTCTTGAAAGCTGCCATTCAGACTGTTATTTTAACTTTTATTTTTCTTGTTTCTGAGTCATGAATATCTCAATCCTGAAAATAAAGTTTATGCAGAAAGAGATTTAACACCAAGGGAAGACTAGGAAAAAAAGTTTCATCACTGATGAAATTGATAGCCTTTAAAAATCTTTATTCCTCCTTATTGCTCAATGATTATATAATTTTATATTTCATACATATTTCAAATAAAGACAAACTAGGGACACATGATCCCTTTTATCTGTGGAGATTTTAATTCACAATGGAAGTAAATATAATAATTTTAAAAGAGGTATACGGTTTGCAAAGACTGGCATGTACATTGTCATTGCTAATAGAGTATTTTATTAATAGAGTGAATTGAAGGATAAAGATGAGACATAATGCATGTTAGAGAGTGGCAAGCATTTAGTAATTCTTGCCACCTATTAAATATTTTAGTAAGTAATAATTTTGTCATTTTATATTTTGTAATGGTGCTAAACTATAGAGATCTACAAATTATATGTTGAGTTTAATCTTTAGACATAGAAATCTATCTTATTAGAGACATTATCTGAATGCAACACATTATGTCGCATGTGATGGTCAGTGCATAATACTGCACAAATTAAATTGTAAGGAAATTAGTACCTATAATCTGTATTCGCCACATTATTTTGTGATTATCCATGATTAGACCTTCATTAAATATGACATTAAGTTTCTGCTTTTATTGAGAGACTGAAATGATACATAATCTTTCCTCCTGTGCTTTGACAGACTGACTATAGAAGTATAAGGAAGGTACATGTATCAGTGTCTGTCTCTGTGTTTTCCTGCTCTAGGAAAGAGAATTTAATTTAAAAAATCAGTCATACTTTTAAAAAAACATTTCCTTCATAGTCAAGTTTAAAAAAATAAAACAGCAGATTCTGCAACCAGCCAGGAAAATTAAGTGGTCAAGTCTAAAGATAGCATCATAGATATCTGCCTTTACTACCATAGAAATGAACCCAAGCACTAATATTTTATATTTTTCTTTTCTATTTTAGTGGTGAGGGCCACCCAGAATACCCCTTTTCTGATGAATTTTAATGTGGTGGCCTGTGTCATGACTTCTATCTCAAGTCTCATCATAGCTCTATATGGATAATGATGTGGGCAACATCCGAGATGCTGTTGATTGGACATATCTCATTCTGCTCAATCTGAACTGCTTAACAACTCAACTTCAGCTAGTTGTGTCCATCAGTCCACCATAATTCATTACATTTTCATCATGCTTTGAAATAATGCTAATGTTTCCTATAAAAAGGTCTTTCTTTAGTACTGTGTGCGTTTCTTTCCTCATTTGTTTTCTTTTGAGTCTTTGAGACCAAAAATTAACTTCTGTGGAAGTCTGGGGGAAGAGTTTAGGAAGTGATAATTTAAGGGGTTGTAGTGGGTGGAGACCTTCTGCTCTACCAAAGTTACAGGTAGCAGGTATTTGAGAGAAAGATCAACTGTCCTGTAAGCCCCAAAGAAAACACACTGCATGTGGTTCATGCTTCTCAGTCTGGAAAGTGAGGCATTCTTGGAAAGACTGACAAACAGTGCCAAGGATCCCTAGCAGCATCTAAATACCAGAGCCCTGGGAATGGTGAGTGAGATGTTCCTGAGATAGTGTTGACTCATAAGGTGACAGGGGGTTGGGTAAGGCACTGATCTCTGGGTATAGAAGTATGTCATTAGGAGCCATTCTGTTGCTGTTCCTTTATTAGAATCATAGTCGCCTTTCCTTAGAACCTATGACCTATTTAATCTCAGGTTCTTGGCCTTATTAACAGTGTCAGGTATGGGTTGCATCTTGAGGAGCAGGCCTTAAATCTAATAAAGTGGGGTTGGCTGCTTCCATAACATAGGTGTCACTATTCCACCAGCACATCTTGCTGGCAAACACTGTTATAGGTTGCAGATACCTTTCTTCTCAGGTAGCATGAGAAGTTTAGTAGTCAGTTTACTAGTCAGTAGGGTTGAAGCTTCTAGTTGGGCACCAGATTTATTTCTCTATGTTTTATGATATAAATATAAATATGATCTTACTCAAAAAGAGCTTGCCTATGTTTCACAGACTCTAGAGCATTGTCTTATTTTCATAATAATAAAGTACAATTTCAAGTAAATGAAAACAGCAACAACAAAACACCAAAAAAGATGTGGGGCTATGAAGTTTCACATTCTCGTATAGAAACATCAATGATTTATTTGATATTGGCTAACTGACATTATACAGACTCTTGGAAACAGTCAAATGTCTACAGCAACAAAATAAAGAGTCAAACAAAATAAATGAGATTTTAATTGGTAGGAAAATTTTCTGTGTTTTACCCAGCTTTGCCAAACATAACCAGTGTGATCTTGGTTGATAGGTCGCATTTACAGTTAACCAATTTCTTCCTTTAAAGTAGAGTAATTGCTCTGGAAGTTACAATAACTTATCTTATTGGCCCCATGCTTTGAAGATTCATCAAAACAAAGTTATGCTTATCATGTATATAATGATTCACCCTTTCCTCTCAGCCCCAGATGTACCTTAACATCTTAGAGAACTGCTGAAACCAGGGCAATGCCTGTGGTTTATGGTGCTGTTTTTTATTTGTCTTAGAAATAATTTGCCATAGAATCTTTGTAAACTATGGAAAGTAGATGGAAATAAGCTTTGATTTTACTTGCTCTTGAGAAAATGATTGACTAGTATCTGTTCCCATAATATGGAAAACTGACCATGATTCTACAACATTTGAGGAGAAAATTTGATACCCTTTTGGATATCATACTGGCTATTCCTCATTTTTTTTTTTAATTTTCCTTTCTCTTTAAAAAAATTCCCTTTAATGAAAACAGATTCTTTCCTCAAACAATATATCTTGATTACATTTTCTGCTCCCTCTACTCCTCCAAATTCCTCCCTTCTTCCCTCCCATCCATATCCACCCCCTTTTAGTCTCTCATTAGAAAAGAACAGGCTTCTAATAGATAGCAACCAAACAATAACATAAAATATAATAAGATAAAACAAAACCATCACATCAAGGTTGGACAAGGCAACCAACAGAATGCAAAGTTCCCCCAAAGAAGGAACAAAAAAATCAGACCTACTCATTCACATATTCAGGAGTCCCATAAAAATAATAAATTGAAAGCTATAATTTTGTTACTACTCTTTTCTTTTTTTAATTTTTTTTAGACCAGTAGCATGTAGTTTTGCCCGAGGCCTCTGGGTTATCTAGTCTTTGGTTCTTGGTCACCCAAGCCATGTAGAGTATGGGTTCTGTCTTCTGGAATGGCTCCTAAGTCAAATTGGACATTGCTTGGTTTCTCCCACAAGCTTTGTGTCACCATTGCCCTAGCATATTTTGCAGTCAAGATAGCATTGTAGATGAAAAGGTTTGCATCTGGGTTTGTGTTTACATTTCTCCTTTGGCAGCCTGCAGAGTACCTTCCCATATCAAAGACACTAGAATGTAGGGGTGAAGGCTCTGTGTAGGTACCAAGGCAAACTCTCCATTTTCAATGTATTGTGTGGGTGTTGTCTTCAACAATGGGGCCTCACTGTTAGTATGTGCAGAGCAACCTAATGCCCTGTCAACAGGTTGGATTATTTGGAGATTTCTATGGAACCCTTTTTGTCAACAGCTCAATTGAATGCAACCCAGTCCCACGACTGGAAGCTTCATTTGATGACAAGAGATAGCCAGTTGGGACTCCATCTTCCCCATTATTTGATACTTTATTAGAATCACCTTCATATATTTTAGGAAGTGTCCACTGCACTATATTTTCATACACCCCTCAAATGCCACACAATTCTAGCTGTCTTGCTCCTAATTCCTTACATCAAGTCCATTTCCCCTCCCACTTCCCACCACATCCTCACATTCCCATCCCTGAAAAAGTACTGTGAGATGTTATGTATGACAAATATGTTGGTTAATAAATAAAACACTGATTAGTCAGTAGCCAGGAAAAAATATAAGCAGAACAAGGAAAAAAAAATTCTAAAACGTAAAAGGCTGGGTCAGAGACACTGCCAGCCATCGCCATGACAAACAACATATAAAGATGCCGGTAAGCCACAAGACACATGACAAGGTACAGATTTATAAAAATAAATTAATTTAAGATATAAAAACAGTTAACAAAAAGCCTGGTACAGCCATACAGTTTGTAAACAATATAAGTCTCTGTGTTTACTTGGTTGGTTCTGAATGGCTGTGGGACTGGCGGGTGAGAGAGATTTGTCCTGACTGTGGGCCAGGCAGAAAAACTCTAGCTACAAATGGCACCCAACGAGTTGACAAGAGTTTCCACCTAAAACCTGAAAAAAGATTCTAAAACGGAGCTAAAAACAGCTTCCTAATTGTCTCTCTCAAATGAGCGACAGCCTAGGTGTTTGAGCTACTATGGCGGGTTCCTGGCATGTTTGCTCGATCTACAGTATGGCGAAAATGTGGCCTCTACAAGTGACACATTAAACTACGTGGTAGATTTAGCCTTTGCTAGTACAAAACAAAAAGCGATTTCTGGGCTACACACTGCTTTGATAAAAACATAAACCCACTATTTCTAAAAGTTGATGGCTCCCGGAGCTGACAAAAAATGTACCACCGCCATATTAAAAAGCTAATGTGGACAGAGCCAACAGCCACAGCGCCGTTTCAGTCTTAAAATACTACAGTTTAAAACAATAGGCTCAAGGTAATATAAAAAATAAGCCACATAAAGATGACTATCACACAAAAAATCTAAATTATGTTCTCTTTGATATTTGTAAGTAAAAAAAAAACATTTGATTACAAAAGCTGTTGAGTTATGCCAAAACATATATTTTAAATGTACCTTAACTTCAAAATATAGATGTAAAGATATATTGCTTTGGATACAAAAGCAGAGCCTCCTTTCCAACAAAAAGTAATAAAAAAAGCTACGTCCAAATTCCCAAATTATATGTAATTTTACTATGTTAAGATTAAAACCTTCCTTTTTAAAAAAAAAAATGAAAAAGTACTGTGAGATGTTATGTATGACAAATATGTTGCTCTGGTTGGTTAATAAATAAAACACTGATTAGCCAGTAGCCAGGAAAAAAAATATAAGCAAAACAAGAAAAAAAAAATCTAAAAAGTAAAAGGCTGGGTCAGAGACACTGCCAGCCACCTCCATGACAAACAACATATAAAGATGTCGGTAAGCCATGAGCCACGTGACAAGGTACAGATTTATAAAAATAAATTAATTTAAGATATAAAAACAGTTAACAAAAAGTCTGGTATGGCCATACAGTTTGTAAACAATATAAGTCTCTGTGTTTACTTGGTTGGTTCTGAATGGCTGTGGGACTGGCGGGTGAGAGAGATTTGTCCTGACTGTGGGCCAGGCAAAAAAACTCTAGCTACACATCCCCCTTGTCCCCACTCCACCTATAAAACGTATTCTATTTTCCCCTCCCAGAGAGATCCATGTGTCCCATCTAGTCACTTCTTTTTTTAACCTAACCCCTCAATGTCTATAGATTGTAGCTTTGTTATCGTTTATTTAATGGATAACATCCACATAGAAGAAATACCATATTTATCTTTCTGAGTCTGGGATACCTCACTCAGAATGATTTTCATAGTGGTTGTTCAAGTCTGCACTCCCACCAGCACTGGAGGAGTGTTTCCTTTGCTCCATACCTTCCCAAGAATGAGCTGTCATTTGAGTTATTTATCTTTCCTATTCTCACAGATGCAAGATGGAATCTCAAAGTTTCTATTTGCATTGCCCTGATGACTAAGGATGTCAAACATTTAAATGTTTCTCAGCCATTTGAGTTTTCTCTATTGAGAATTTTGTTTAGATTTGTATCCCATTTTTAAATTGGATTATTTATGTTTTTATATATAGTTTCTTGAAAAATATATAAATATTGAATATTAGTATTGGATATATATAATGGATATTAGTCCTCTATCTGATGTGGGGTCAGTGAAAATGTTTTCCCAGCCCATAGACTGCTCCTTTGTCATATTGATGGTGTCCTTTGCCTTACAGAAGCTTTTCAGTTTTATGAGGTCTCATTTAATAATTGTTGATCTTAGTGTATATGTGTTCTGTTCAGAAAGCCTTCTGTGCCAATAAGATCAAGCCTATTCCCCACTTTCTATTTCCAGGTCCAGTGTACCTGGTTTTATGTTGAGGTACTTGATCCATTTGGACTTGAGCTTTGTGCAGGGTGATAAGTAAGAATCTATTTGCATTCTTCTACACGCAGACTAAAGTTTGACTATTACTTGAAGATGTTATCT